CTTTGGATCAGTCTCAACCATCAGAAAGCGAAGCTGAGCCTGGCTCACGCCAACGGTTCCCAACACACGACTGCCCATCTCATTAAACTGCTGCCTACGTTCACACCAATTGTATCTTGTTTGCCTTGTGGGGACAGGGGAGCATCATGTTGGAAGGAAAGGAGAATATCCAGAGCCTCCTGGAGTTGCTGCCAACAGAAAAGGCGAGTGACAGCAGTATCATGGGATGTTGGCAGAGGTGAACTCAGATTTAGGTGAGAAAAGCAACTCCTAAAGCGAATGGAAACAGGTCAGTATTATTGCTATATTCAGGGGTGCTCTGCCCTATGCCCAGAAAGCCTGTGAACTTTGCAGACATTAATCAGATCTGGAGAGAGAACAACAAATAGTCTGCTTCTGTCTGCAAAGATAGTTCACGTGAAATTAGGGGGACAGATGAGCATGGCTGTGCCTAAAGGCAGAGTGGGAATAAGTCTGGAAAACTTTGTGAATAAAGAAACAAAGCTGTTATCACATCAGACCAGCGAAGCATTTGCATACGTCCTTAATACTGACAATTCCCCATGTCACCTGCCAAGAATGAAACAAACATCACACCAAGATTGTCCGAGCCTTATGAAAATACTGAGCCCAAGACACCCGGCTGTGACAAACTCTCACATGGTGGCAACAGCCGTGGCTGACTCGGGGGCTAAAGCTTCACAGTGCTGGTAGCCTCCAGGTTGTCTTGGGTTTGCTGTGGAGTGGAACTGCTGGTTACGAGATGGAGTCACCTGTCTGTCTCCCAGGACCTCGTTTACTGAGAAAAAATGTGTGTCTGACTGAGACACAAAGGTAAACCTGAAGTACGTTGCCTCCAACAGCAATCTGATGAACATAAAACTCTCTGATGGGAATAGGAGGGACTCCAAATCTCATTCATTACCTTAATTTTTAATTTTTTTTTTTTCCAAGAAAAAAATGCCAATGCATCTCAGCCATTTGGAAATATTCCAATCGCTTTCCAAATGTCTGCAGACCAACAGTTCAATTCTGAAGCATTTTGAAGCATCGCTAACTCAGCTAATTGAAGGTAATTCCTCTCTACGTCTTTCCCTTTTCACCTTCCCAGCAAGGTGAGACCCAACTGAGATTAGTAATAGCAGCACTAAATAGTTCAGTGCATCTTGCAGGGGTACGGCAGTGTGAGCCCCCTGTTAGTTGAATTCCTAAGGAATGGAAGGTTCATCTAGATAATTCAAGTGATTTCGGTCCCACTATACATCCAAGATGTGCTGGGCAAAGTCAGAAAAATGTATGATTTCAGTATGTATAAAAAGAAGATTCTGAAAATGCAGACAAGGATGTCTTGTTGACAAGGATGCAAAGAAGCCGATGGGACTGATGCTAGTGTCATCTGTACCAATTTTAGATTGGGGTCCCCCTCAGATGCCACTGGGGCTACGCCAAGGTGGCATCTGTGCAAGGGAAAGGGCACCCCAACCTGAACTCACACAAGGCAACTGGGCAACCCCATAGAGGCTGCTAGATCTCAAGTAGTTTATTTTCTCAAACATCCCATTCCTTAGCAGACAGCCATGCAGGGAACACAGTGCTTGGAAATGTCAAAACAACATTTTTGCTGAGACTGAGGTCTCGACAAAACCCTGAATTTCAATGCCCCTGAATACGGAGAAAAAATTCCCAACATTGGATCTGGACTGCACAGCTCAGACCATGGCCCTGTTTCTGTTCCCAGGAATGGGCATTTTTCTAACTCCATCCTCGTTCTTAAGTTTCCTGCACGGTTAAGGCAGTTGCGGGATGGAAGCGAAGTGCTGACAGGCGAAGGCCCATACTGCAATTTGGGAAATGGGAGGATGTCTGAGACTCTTCATTTGTTATTCTACAACGAAAGTTGGGTCGCAGGCAAAACTGGCTTGTGGTTTTGAAATCAGAAAAAACAAAGAGCCTGCTGGGATGGATGAAGGTTTTGGTCTGCGTGTCTTCTTTAAACTAAAGCTCTGTTCTTGAATCTGTACCAAAGCACTGACAGTAAAGCCCTTCATGATGCAGGCATCTGATACATGCTTACAAAAAAAAAGAGTGGGATGGGGAAAGAGCTTTTCAAAAGTTGCATTTTCAAAAGAAATAAAACAACAATCATGCAGGAATTTGAAGTTACAGCTCAGAAAGAATGTAAGTAACCCCATTCAACTGCATCTCCCATACATACCAAGAGAAAAGATTAAATGAAAAAAAAAACACAACTAAAAATGAAAACGTTAAGTGCCCTGGAATCCTCTTTCTGTAACTCCGGTCAAGCGAGACTTTTGACTGTACTGACAAACCACAGCTCTTGAACACCGGGAGTTTGTTTTGCATCATGTCAGCGTGCTATTCTCCTTCACCTTGGACTTTCAGAGAGGAAAACAATGAAATTGTGGAAGGGGTTATAAAATTTCAAGCAATCAGGCTTTTAGAAAGTTTCTATTCTGTGACATTTGTGGTCGAGTCTGAATGTGTGTGTATAGTATAAAATTATGAGCTAACATTTGAAAAGACAGCAGTCTAAGTAATAAATTTTCAGAATGAAGAGAACTCTACAGAATGATTTCAAAGGCTTATACTTGACAATTATACATATTTTATGAGACAGTTATGCACCCTGTGCCTTTTTAAATTCATTGTTTTATGGATGCAGTATCTCTATTTTAGCAGACAGGATATACTGAACCAATCTAATGGTCTAAAAAGCATCATTTACCACCCAACATAACAATGGCACTGCATAGCTTAATAACTCTTTTTTTTCCTTAAACTCCTTCTTTAATCAAGTGATTCTTAACATGGCTGAAAACCAAGAATCAAATATCTGCAGCTAAAATATTTGTTGAGTATTTGGCACAGTGGAGTTTATTTGATACACCCTTTTTTTTTTTGTTTGCCCTTATTGTTGCTGAACATACAATGCTGTGCATAAATTACAAACACACATGTAAAGTCAGCCACGTGGAAGCAGTTTGATACCCCACACCCATGCCTCAATGCCTAGATAAGAGCAAAGTCTGCTAAAAAGGTGTTGAACATGAGTGGCAAGTTATCAACCCTCTGTAATTGTGCCTACTCTGGGGTGTCCACTGCCAGCAATGGACAAGGACTTGGGGAAGATCAGCCCCTCCGCCAGCTGGATGGAAGTGACGTCCAGCATTCGGTTCAACGTGCCAGGTTACTTCTCTAAACATCTGCAAGTTCACAACAGCTTCAAAATACAAACAAACCAAAAAAAAAAAAAAAAAAAGGAGCTTTTTGATTATGATGCTAACCCTTAAAACCCTTCTGACATTTAGTCCATTGGAAATGGGTCTGGTTCCCGAGGAAAACTCATCAAACACAACCAATTTGTATTGCTTCCCGGCAGGAATGTCTTGGGGAAAAAAAAAAAAATAAGCCTGACCCGATGCTTCTTGAAATCAGATGAAAGCTTCCCCATGACTTTTGCAGGCTTAGATAAGACCGCATTGCAAGAGCAAAGCCAAATCTGCTCCTGCATGGGTGCCTCTTGAGGGTCCGAATGAAAATTTCAGAGGTGCTCGATGCTGGCCAGCCTCTGCTCCCATAACCCAGCCTTCCGTAGGAACACTATTTGCACATCTAAGGGCAAAACGTGGCCTCCAGGAGGGGAGATTATTCCACCTTCCTCACACGGCTTCCACTGAAGTCAATGGAATTTCTCAGGTGAAAAAAAATACCAATTGTGAGGGTTGCAGGATTAAGGTCAGTATTCCTTTCATCTTGTACACACGCACACGCACACTTACTTTAAAGAAAACATCCACCACACAATTTCTAGATTGCAAATTATATATATATATATCTTTAAAAACTGGAGAGAACATAAACAGCCTCTCCATATATATATGTATTCACTGAGTCACATAGAATATGAAAAAAACTATATTATGTAAATCATCATATTATCTATAATTCTCCAACTGACAATTGTTTTTATAGAGACACAGTGCATTCGTTCTCTTTTTTAAAAACATATTATGTGTCTTCATTGGCTTGGTAGCATATTAGAATGAAGGCGTATGGATAAAAAACGCAGAGGATTAAACAAACCCCTTGAGTCACATTATGTTTGGGTGAATTAAACAGGATCCTTCCCCAAACTAGCATAAATAAATCCTCCCTATGGAAAAGTGTCAGCGATTTAAGGGTTAACATAGATTTCAAAATAAGTTTTAAAAAAATCTTATTAGAGGACTACACAGACGAGTATTTGGAATTCATCCCCCTTTAAAAATGACAGCACGTTTGGCAAGTGTGAGCAAATGTCTTGAACTTTACTGGGTTTGAGGGATCTGAGCACGGCTATTCACAGACAACCACACAGCTGCGATCTGCGAATAAGCCTCAGCTGGAAGGACTCGGATACCTCTGACAGCATTGCTCGCCACCTGGAAGGCTTCCAGCAGCTTTCAAGGTATTTATCGTGGACTTGTGGCTGGTGACAGAGCGTGACCGGTGAACACCTCCAGCACCGCTCCCTCTTTTGCCATCACAGAGCACAGCACCCAGACCGGCTAACCCTTCAGCCCGCGCTGCGGGGCTCCACGTATCCCTGGGGCCCCGTTTGCAACCCCAAATGCCTATTCTGGCACTGCTGTTATCACCTGGCTTTCTGTATGCCTCATGACCAAGCCTGCCCGTTTGCCGAGGTCTCCGATGAACCTCTGCAGATGCTCTTCTTGGAAGCTCGTACTGTCATCAAAGGGGCTGGTACCCAGCCACAGTGGCTCCCTGCTCTCTCCCATCACCCCGCAGGATTTCACAAGTCATCCCATTGAAAGATGCTGTTCTCAAGAATCCTGGCTGGGTCTGACTTTGAGAAAAAGACAAAAGTTTCCCGTGTTGCCATTGTTGTTTCGCAGTTGTGTTTCTTCGCTCTCGCTCTCTTCTTGTTTTTATTAAAAAGGACCCTTGTATTATTAATATAGTTCACCCCTCCATAGTCACTATAAAACAGACTCCATATTTTCACACCACTCATGATCTTCAAGGTTATAGATAAATTTTGTCCTATGTGGTTGATTTTGGGGCACCGAGTCCCGCCCCAGATTGTCTAGGGTGAGAGTAGAGGCAAAAAACTCACTAGTGCTGAGACCACCTTCGTGGTTCTTGATGTATCTTTTATAGTTTTTCCTCAAGCACTGCCAGGTGGTTGTATATAAGATGAATGCAAAAGACTTCAGGGCTATAGCAATACTAACATACAGGTATCTATAGACCACGTTGTCATACAGCGCGCAGGCTCCTTGCTCGCCACAGAACGTGCTCCAGAACAGACACGTGGAGTCAATTCCAGCCCCAAAGATCAGTGGAGGTGGGATAAAACCTGTCAAAATAAGAGAGACAAATCATGCTTTTATGACCCTTATGATAGAGAGAGAAGATGTGATTGCAATGAATGGGAAGAGAGGATACTTTATCAAGGTTAACAGTCCCAGCTGCAGCCTGTGATTGTAATTTTTTAAGTCCTAAATCAACCTAAACAAAGTCTGTGGATGAGGTTTTAGCTTGGACTCAACATCTACATAAGAGATTCCTGCT